GGGGTTTTGTTAACTTAACATACACACCTGCAACGGTTCGTATGAATGGGGTGCAATTGTGATGCGGTGCGGAATTCGCACAGAAGCCACTGAAAATTCCACACGCATCAGAGTGAACCTGGGCTCAGATAATATGAGGTAGGTCCAATGAGCTCACAAATGACCTGGAGAGAAGGCTGGTGGATTTAGGAAATGGGGTAAACCTGGCTCTTGCATCTAATGCATGTTTTTTATATGTTGTACTTTCTGCATACTACAAATATGTACAAAATTTTGTTTTATAAAAGAACACTTGCAACAAAATGTACAAAATCACAGCTAAAACTAAATAAAATTTAAGTAAAGTTCTGTAAATGGTCAATAAAACAACAACATACCAACGTGCGACCTTTTTACTATTATTGTATGTTTTTATTATTATTATTTATTATCATTGTTGTTATTATTTATTATTATTGTTATTTATTATTATTATTGTTGCTATTTATTATTATTATTTTTATTATTTATTAACTCGTGTGAATCCTTTCTAAATGCTTTACTATGTAGGCAGCTGACACAGTGTTATGCAATGAACCAGGTTTAGGGATTCATTTATGGAAACAAAAGTGGCGCAGAGGTGGTGGCGTTGTCAATAGCAACCCGGCAGATTTTATCTTCCAAATGAGAATAGATGAATGATAAGAGCTCCACTTGTTCCAATCCTATAGTAAGACAGAGCTGCCTGTGCAGATTGTTCCCTCCTCTTGCTCCCAGTTGGGCACACAGAGGTGACGTGTGTTGTTTATGTAGGTATTTATGGAGTTCATGCAATTTTACGTGTTGTACAATCATATCAGTCCCTGCCCTCAAGAGCTTACAATCTGAGGTTCCCATCTCATATATAGAGAGCCAATTTAGACTGCATTCACACTTTAGTGTTTTGTAGCTTGAAGCTCCAAAAAACCCTCAAACTTAAAAAATCAATTGTTCTCTGTGGTGCCTGTTCACGCAATTAAGTGTGAACGGGCACCATAGAGAACAATTGATTTTTTTTTTAAGTTTGAGCTTTTTTGGAGCTTCCAGCTTCAAGCTACAAAACACTCATGTGTGAATGCAGCCTGAGACAGGAGTTAATTAACCTACCAGCATATCTTTGGAGTGTGGGAGGAAACCAATGCAAGCACAGGGAGACCATGCAAACTCCATGCAGATAGTGTCCTGGTTGGAAGTGTGAACCTGACACACACAGAAGTCCATTTACCTGCAGATGCCTCCACATCCACTGCTATGCCATCCCTAGCACTGACATCAGGTGCATGGGGCTGTGAGCCTACCCTGGAATTTCAATTTTTCCGGGACTGTCTGCAGCCTGTGATTGGTCCTGCAGAGCTGTGAGTGTCATGCAAATGTAGCCACACCAGCAGGCAGTCTGGAGATCAGTGGGGACTCAGTGCTGAGGAGGGGAGGGAGTGCAGGCTGTGTGTGCAAACTGGGAGCCAAGACACCCCCAATAAAAAGAAATAATAATAAAATATAGCACCCCCTCCCCCCCCTCCCCTCCTCCTCCCACCACACCTTCTCCCTGCATCTCCATCATCCTCATCCTCTCTCTCCTCTTTCTTCCCATGTACTCAGGATGAGCAGCAAGGAAGAGGTCACTAAGTGCGCCCCAGCCTCCCTCTCCAGCTTCACCATCCAGTCCATCCTGCAGGGGACCACATCTGAGCGGGGACGTGGCAAGCCTTGTGCCAGGGAGCCCACCACCAGCAGAGAGCCCAGCCCCAGCACATCCTCAGAGGACGACGAGCACGACGACGGATGGACTGCACACTCCTGCTTCTGTTCTCAGCCAGCCAAGGAGCCCAGGGAGCAAGGAGCACATACCTGCGGACAGCACAGGTGTCTCAGTGAGTACCTACCTATACTGGGCATGGGACACCTTGGGGGGGGGGGGGCACTCTGGGCCAGTGACCACCTACCTATACTGGGCATGGGGCAACGGTGGGGAGGGAGCACTCTGTGCCAGTGACCACCTACCTATACTGGGCATGGGGCACTGAGGGGGGAGCACTCTGTGCCAGTGACCACCTACCTATACTGGGCATGGGGCACCAAGGGGAGAGGGGGCACTCTGTGCCAGTGACCACCTACCTTTACTGGGCATGGGGCACCAAGGGGAGGAGGCATGCTGTCCCAGTGACTACCTACCTAAACTGGGTATGGAGCACAGGGAGGGAGAGGGGGCATCCTCTGCCAGTGACCACCTACCTATACTGGGCATGGGGCACCGAGAGGAGGGGACACTCTGTGCCAGTGACTACTTACCTTTACTGGGCATAGGCAACCAAGGAGAGGGTGCACTCTGTCCCAGTGACCACCAACCTTTATTGGCCATGGGGCACCGAGAGGAGGGGGCACTCTGTCCCAGTGACCACCTACCTATGCTGGGCATGAGACACTGAAGGGAGGGGGCACTTCTTCCCAGTGACTACCAACCTTTACTGGGCATAGGGAACCAAGGGAAGGGGGCACTCTGTGCCACTGACTACCTACCTACCTTTATTGGCCATGGGGCACTGAGGGGAAGGGGCACTTTGTCTCAGTAGGACCTACCTATACAGGGCATGGGGCACCGGGGGGGAGGGGGCACTCTGTCTCAGTGACCACCTACCTTTACTGGGCATGGGCACCAAGTGGAGGGGGCATTCTGTCCCAGTGACTACTAACCTATACTGGGCATAGAGAACCAAGGGGAGGGGCACTCTGTCCCAGTGACTACTTTTCTTTACTGGACATAGGGAACCAAGGGAAGGGGACACTCTGTCTCAATGACTACCTACCTTTACTGGCCATGGGGCACTGAGGGGAGGGGGCTCGCTGTCCCAGGGACCACAAACCTTTACTGGCCATGGTGCACTGAAGGGAGGGGGCACTCTATCCCAGTGACTACCTACCTTTACTGGCCATGGGGCACTGAGGGGAGGGAGTACACTGTCTCATTAACTACGTACCTTTACTGGGCATGGAGAACCGAGGGGAGGGGGCACTCTGTCCCAGGGACAACACAGTGGGAACCAACCTATACTGGGCATGGGGAACCAAGGTAAAGGGGCATTCTGTCTCAGTGAGCACCTACCTTAACTGGGAATAGGGCACCCAGGGGAAGGGCACTCTGTCTTAGTAAGTAGCTACCTTAACTTGGACCTTAACTGCACTTTGTCTCAGTGAATACCTACCTTAACTGAGCATGGGTCATCCAGGGGAAGGGGCACTTTGTTTCAGTGAGTACCTACCCTAACCGGACATGGGTCATCCAGGAGAGGGGGCACTTTGTCTCAGTGAGTACCTACCTTAACTGATCATGGGTCATCCAGGGGAGGGGGCACTTTGTTTCAGTGAGTACCTATCCTAACCGGACATGGGTCATCCAGGGGAGGGGGCACTTTGTTTCAGTGAGTACCTACCCTAACCGAGCATGGGTCATCCAGGGGAGGGGGCACTTTGACTCAGTGAGTGCCTACCTTAATTAGACCTGGGGCCCCTAGGTGAACACCTACCTTATCTGGCCATGGGGCATCTGTCATCCACCTGTCACCCCCTGCCAGGACCGAGCCTGGGTTTTATTAAGCCTGGCGCGGCGTTTAGTGCTGTGTACCGTCCGCTTTTATATTTGGCCGTAAAAGCGATGAGATGAAAATGTCAGGAGGCTGAGCTCTGATGGAGGCTCTCTGTGACACCGACCTCCCGGAGTCCTGCTCAATCTGCCCAGCGTGACACCACTGAGCTTCCTGCCCTGAATAATTCACCAGACAGGATAATGTGCTCTCATCGGGCCCCCATTCATCTCCACCGCAGACAAGTGCACCGGGGCTCTGGGGGGGGGGGGGGGGGGGGGGGGGGGGGGGGACAGCACAGGGTTAATGGAACATGGGGAGAAAAAAAATGTCATCAATCAAACCCAGCTTATCCTTCTCTGTGGATCCTGCTGCTTACTAATAAAGCAGAGAGATAAGGACATACATTACATGATAGACAGATAAATAGATAAGTGAGGGGATGGATGGATGGATAAAGATAGAAAGACAGATAGAAGGATACATTGATAAAAGAAGAAGAGAGATTGATAAATAATAAACAAATATAAGGATGTATCGAGAGAGATCGAGAGAGAGAGAGAGAGAGAGAGAGAGAGAGAGAGAGAGAGAGAGAGAGAGAGAAGAGAGAGAGAGAGAGAGAGAGAGAGAGAGAGAGAGAGAGAGAGAGAGAGAGAGAGAGAGAGAGAGAGAGAGAGAGAGAGAGAGAGAGAGAGAGAGAGAGAGAGTAGATATCTGTGAAGGTGAGTCCAGAGATAAAAGATAAATTGATAGATAAAAGAGGAGAGATAGAGAAGAGATGATAGATAAATAGATACAATATAGATAGATAGATAGATAGATAGATAGTTAGATAGATAGATACATAGATAGATACATAGATAGATAGATAGATCATAAATAGATATCTATAAAGGTGGATATAGAGATAAAACGATAGATCGATCGATCGATCGATCGATAGATAGATAGATAGATAGATAGATAGATAGATAGATAGATAGATAGAACGAATATAGAGATAAAGAAATAGCTAATTATTTTTGGTTTTGCAACAAATCATATGTATTTTACTAAGCAGACGTAATATATATAAGTATACTATATTCTACAGTAATTCGAGTAATTGAGAATTCACAGGAAAAAACAAAATGTGCAAATGCTGAATCCATTTCTGTATATATATTCTATTGAGTATGTTTCGTTTCTGACAGCATAAAGTGTATTATCTCTGATTCATAGAGCAGGCACACATTCAGGAGGGGGGGATGCTCTCTGAGCTTTATGTGGCCCTCTTGTTGTGGCCCCTAGCTCAGGAAAGTGGCAGGTTAACCCTTTAGACACCAGGTGCTCCCTGTAGCCCCCGATGTCTCCGCTGAGAGGGAATTGGCGACCTCTGTGCCCGGAGGGGCTGCCAGGGTGACACTGACCGGCTTCTTCTCTTTCTTTCTGGCAGACAATTCTCGGGGATCGCACAGCTCGGAGAGGAGTCAGCAGGACTATCCCAGGGACCGGGAGAGACATCGCACCCCTTCATCTGGGGACAAGCAGGGCGGCTCCAAGAAGAAGACCCGGACCGTGTTCTCCAGGAGCCAAGTCTACCAGCTGGAATCCACCTTTGACATGAAGAGGTACCTGAGCAGCTCGGAGAGGGCTTGCCTGGCCTCCAGCCTCCAGCTGACAGAGACTCAGGTGAAGACCTGGTTCCAGAACCGCAGGAACAAATGGAAAAGACAGCTGTCCGCCGAGCTGGAGGCTGCCAACATGGCCCACGCCTCTGCACAGACTCTTGTAGGCATGCCACTAGTATTCAGGGACAATTCCATCCTGAGGGTCCCAGTGCCCAGGTCTATAGCCTTCCCTGCCCCTCTCTATTACCCTGGCAGCAACATGTCCCTGCCACTCTATAATTTATACAACAGCAAGCTGGACTACTGAACGGTGCCCCTGTTCTGCCTCTGGACTACTGAACACCGCCCTAGTCCTGTCCTCTGGACTACTGATCAGTGCCCCAGCCCTGCCCTCTGGACTACTGATCAGCGCCCCTGTTCTGCCCTCTGGACTACTGAACAGTGCCCCAGTCCTGCCCTCTGGACTACTGAACAGTGCCCCAGTCCTGCCCTCTGGACTACTGAATAGTGCCCCAGTCCTGCCCTCTGGACTACTGAACAGTGCCCCAGTCCTGCCCTCTGGACTACTGAATAGTGCCCCAGTCCTGCCCTCTGGACTACTGATCAGTGCCTCAGCCCTGCCCTCTGGACTACTGAACAGTGCCCCAGTCCTGCCATCTGGACTGTCAAACAATGTCCCTTTTCTGCCCTCAAAGCCACAATGGAAGATACACCATGTGTATGTGCCCTATAGGTCTCCTTTGTCCCGCCTTGCTGCGACAATTTTTTATGTATTATCATTTACAAAGGTATTCGACATTTTTATTATATATAATTTTTTATTACCCCTCCCTATCCTTTCCCTTCTCTGTACAGAAGGACTGCACGAATATTTAACCCTTGTCCTGACAATGGACTGGCACAGATGCCTATGTGGAATAAGGGAAAGCGTTCATTTTTGTATATAGTATTTTTTTTTTTAATAAATATGTTTTAAACTGATTTGGCACGGTGGCTTTCTAATGTCTTCAAGAAAATGATCGGTGGAGAGAAGGAGAGGGGTTGACTAAATGCTGTGGGTTTGATATATATACACATATATATATATATATATATATACAGATAGATAGATAGATAAATATATATATTTTTTTTATATATATATAGGGTTACATTATATATTATTATTTATAAAAAAAGAAATATATATATATATACATATATAAATACACACACACAAACACACACACACACACACACACACACGCACATATATATATATATATATATATATATATATATATATATATATATATATATATATATATATATATATATACTATATTTTTTATGAATATTTAATTTTGTATTTTAATTCTATGCAACAACAATTACATTTTTCGTCATTATTTTTTTATTTCGGAGGTAGAAATGCTCAGATTGTCTTAATAATTTTAATAGGATCCACTCCCCTTCACCAAGAATGTGGTTATATATACAAAAATCATCATTTTAATTATTTTCTACTGGCAGCTAAAAAAAAATATTTCTATATAAAGTGAGATCCATTTTAGCTGTGAACGATCCAGACACAAAACTGAATGCCAAAAGTCACCAATTATATATAATCGAATCCCAAAAAATAGGTAATAAACACATTATTTTCCGATTAGTATAACAGTCTAATGATTCATTAATTTAATATTTAATGCTAGTTACATTTATTGATTTGATTGAAATAGGCTGTATTTATTCAGAGAATCGAAATGATTGTGTATATGCTGTCTCCTGGAAATGAGGAGTCTGCTAAGACGATCATTTTATTGTATTGTATTGTATCTCCCTATGATAGCGATGCGGTGGGTTGGATGTCAGTGTGTGGGGTGAACGCCCTGGCAGCGCTAGGCACCGCAGACACCTGTTCTATCGCGGCTCTTTTTTTTTTTTGGCTGAAGACATTGGCAGATAAACAATGACCGAGCCAGAGATGAGGCTGACAAACGTGTCATTCTCTCTCCTCCCAAATCCCGATTGTGAGGGTAATGAGCTCTGTCAATGAAGCGATTTGCATGTTTACCTTCCTCAGGAAATCAACCATTTTAATATGCGAAACGTTTAAACCAAACTGTGCGATAAATTGTGCGCTGAGAGATGCGGAGATTTTTTTTCCCCTTTGCCATACAGCTGCCAGGGACATGTGACTTATCAATGTGACTCACACAGCAGCTAGGATGATGGTAATAAAAATTGATGAAGAGAGTAACAACAATTATTAATCAACGGTATTGGCAGAGATGACAGCAGAATAAAAAAAAAAAATAAAATCAGTATGTTAATCATCTTTATCATTTTTATTTGTTTAATCGTTATTTTTCCCAATTTTCTTTTTTTTCAAATGATTTATTCTTTCACCATTTTCACTACTAATTATTTTGAGTTTCTGTTTCATTTTTGTTTTATTTACTAAAATAATAACATATTTACCTTTTCACTTCATTTTTAATTTTCATTATTTATAATAATAAAATAATAATAATAATAATAAAAAAAGAAATAATACTAATAACAATAATATTTTTATTTTATTTATTTTTATTTATTTCAGGTACTTATATAGTAATTTACACAGCGCTTTACACATATATATTGTACATTCACATCAGTCCCTATAATAATAATAATCAAAATAATAGTAATAATGATGATGATGATGATTATTATTATTATTATTATTAATACAGCAAAAATTCAGTAGCTGTAATATGCATAAAATAATATCATTACCATCACCATTTATGTTATTTACTACATGGTATTACTTTTTAGCTTGTCATAACTTTCAGCTTATTTTATACACAGTAAAAATATATATATATATATATATATATATATATATATAAAAAAATATATATATATATATTATGTATAAAATATATATGTAATATATATATTTGGCTGTTAAATTATATTAATATTTGTCAGAATAGTTCATTTTTAAAGCTACTATTTTTATGCAAAGTTCAGCTTTATAATATATATATATATATATATATATATATATATATATATATATATATATATACATATATATATTGTCTATAGATATAAATGTAAATATATTGAATGCTAAATAATATTCATATTTGTCAGCATAGTTCATTTTAAAGCTACTATATTCATGCAAGGTTTAGCTAAGATTTTAGTTTTAAACCAATACTTGAAAATTCTGTACCATAAAAAATAGTGAAAGTTAGGATTTTATTAACATTGTAGGATTAATAAAAGTAAGAAGTTCTTCCACAGCAGGAAACACCTTTTGACAGACTTTACTGACATCTAATTTACTCACTGTCTGTCAGTAAATATTCTACTTCAAGAGGGGATTGGATACGTTAAGGAAATGTAAGGTAATACATTACTGTCTTGTATGCCATTTTTAATGATGTTTTAATGATGATGTTAATGAATGATTTTATGATGTAATAGTAAAAAATTGGAGTTATAGAAGGTCCAATGTTGCAATCTATAAACAATGCACAGATCCAAGTAGAGACTTAGTTAACAATTAAACTCTCATGTTATTGATGAGCCTTGATCAATGATAATCTGTTGTGTTTTTTATAAAGATGTCTGCATTTTAGCTGAGGAATAATGGTGTTGTAATGGTTATAATAATTACAGTTTTTGGCCAATTTTAGTTTATGGAGAAACGTTCGCCCAAAGTATTTTGCGCACCAACAGATTGTTTATATTGACATTTAAATATAAAAAGCAACAGCTGAAAGTTTAGGTAGTGCCTCAAGTACTCTTAATATTAGAGATACCAGGAGATTAAAGATTTTTTTTTCAATTAGGTAAAGTCCTCGTGAACAGGAGTGCTCTTGTTAAATTTCTATGTGTATCTGTTTGTGATATTTACTAAAGGGAAATCGTTGGGTATGTAAAAAAACAACAAAGGTTTGTTCGGCTGATGAAACATTAAAAGCCTTTTTAAAGAGGAACTTCACCTAAAATGAAAAGTTTCGCTTTATGTTCTTCTTCACCCCCCTTCTGTTTTTTTTTTCTATGGAGGGGGTACCTACATTGGATAGGTACTCACTCCCACTTCTGCTGGAATCACCTCGACAAACCCAATAAAAGTTCATTGAATTACCCCCGCCTGCAACCTCCTGGGACCTGTAATGCTGCATGTCCATTCACAAAATGCAGCAAGACTTGCATACACACAGCTGGGCGCCAGCTGTGAAATTGCAAGCAGTAACAGCCAGTTTCCCATAGTAAACATGCCAGTGCTGGGGACCTGAACCCAGCAAAGAACTGGCCTAGGTGAGGACAGTGCTGGATCCCTGGACAGGTAAGTGTCCTTTTAATAAAAGTCAGCAGCTACAGTATTTGTAGCTGCCAACTTTAATCACTTGCCCTCCAGAGGATTTACCCCCCTTCCTGACCAGGCCATTTTTTGTGACACGGCGCTGCATTATTTTAACTGACAATTGTGCGGTCATGCAACGCTGCACCCAAATGAAATTTATGTCCTTATTTTACCACAAATAGAGTTTTATTTTGGTGGTATTTGATAGCCTCTGTGGTTTTTATTTTTTGCGCTATAAATAAAAAAAACCGACCATTGTGAAAAAGAAAAACAATATTTTTTACTTTTTGCTATAAAAAACGCCCAGTAAAAAAATTTAAAAAATAACATTTCATCATAAATTTAAGCCAAACTGTATTATGCTACATGTATTTGCTAAAAAAAAATCCCAATACATGTAAATTAATTGGTTTACATAAAGGTTATAGCGTCTACAAATGGCAGTATATATACTGGAATTTTTTTTTTTTACATTTTAATACTAATGGCAGTGATCAGCGACTTATAACGGGACTGAGACAGGCATTCTGACACTGGGGGGGGAACTGACTAACTGCCACTGACATCCCAATGACACTAATACAGTGGCCAGTGCTAATAAAAAGCACTGACACTGTACTAATGACACTGGGCTGGAAGGGGTTAACATCTGGGGTGATCAAAGGGTTAACTGTGTGCTGTGTTCAGGGGCGGACTGACCGGTTTGAAACTCGGGCACTGCCCCAGGGCCCGGGGTCAGTAGGGGGCCCCATGAGATGCCCCTGGTACTTTTTTCATAGGCTTTTTTTGAGTTTGGGCAAGGACACAGGGGCCCCATGATCCCCTATTGCCCGGGGGCCCCATGAGTTGTCAGTCTGCCCCTGGCTGTGTTTTACTGTGTGCTGTGTGTGTGTTTTACTATGTAAACATGCTGCTGTGTATTTCTCTGCTGTGCAGAGAAATACCCAACAGCATGT